AAAATTTATCACTTAATCATTTTTTATATTGAAATGTTGATTGGAATCTAAGGACCAAACAATTCATTAAGTATTTACTGTACAACTTTTATTAATAATACCTGGCAACCAGAACCAAAGGGAACGGAGGGTTTGGGTTTGGGAGATCGTCCCGTCTGTTTCTGTTATTCAAAAAAAAAATTTTTTTTCTGAAATTATTTTCAATGGTACTGTATTTATTTAAATCCAATTCCATTAATTCCTTCATTTCATTCTTAATCCTTAATCCTTAATCATCGTCCCAAGTTTTGATTGCGGCGGATCATAATTTCAGGCGGATGAGAAGACGCCGAAGCAGAAGCTGAAGCTGTGTTCCTACTGGAGAAGCTCCTGCTCCTGGCGAGTTCGAATTGCCCTTAATTTGAAAGGTAAAAAGGTGGTTGGCATTTGGAAACTTGAATTCATCTCTTCTATATATTTTTACAAATTTATGGGGAAGTCTTCCCAATGGAGAGCTAGTTGGGATCAAATGAGCTTAGCAAAGATCAATACAGGGTGGGCTGAAATTCAAAATAGAGATTGAACTTCTATTTGGAATCCATCATAAGAATGTTGTTTGTCTATTAGGATTTTGTTTAGAATGAGGTGAACAAATACTAATATATAAATATGTTCCCAACGGTTCTTTGTATGAAACTCTATAAGGCATGTTCCTCTGTTTCTTCCGTTCTTGATCCAACATAAATTATTGAACGAGTTATGTAGTTAGACAGTATTTCCATAATTTATATCTACTAATTGTTGAAAGAGTAAATAATAAGCTTCTATTGTTGAAAAAGAAAGAGCAACTCAAAGGCTTTCTAAATATAACTTAATAAGAAAGATGATCAGAATAAAGATTAGTTGAATGAAAAATTATTTAATATTATTTTTTCACAAAATATTTATTAATGATATTTTACTTTTTTTTTAGTAGTGTTTTTTTATTTATTATGTATCTTCATTTTATCTAGTAATTAATTATATTTATATATCTTTATCGATCATTATTAATTTATTGTTAAAAATTAATAAATATTATTTATAATTAATTTTTAAAAAGTTTTCTCTTTCATCAACTTTTTAATTTATACATAGACAAATTATTTTTTACTAAAAAATTTTTTATTGACAACCCTAAAAAATATTTGTAGCTTCACCACTGCCTAGCTTTCCATGTTCTCACATTGGCATGCTCTCCGTCATTCCCTTTCCCCCTTTCGTTCGTAAAGAGAGGTCAGGGAAGAAGAAAAAATGGGGAGCAAAGAAATCGATGAACAAAACGAGAAGAAAAAAAATCAAACCTTTTGATGGTACTGTAGATCTTCTAAGGAAGCGAGTATGGGAGAAGCGGGTAGAGGAGGAGAAGAGGTAGTAATTAATGATAAAATGAACTATATAAAATAACCAATTTAAAAAGAGAAAATGGGAGGAAAAAGGAGGAAGACAAGGGCTTTTGGGAATTTCAAATACGTAATTATTTTTTGTTTACTAAATAAAATAACTAATTTATATGAGTTTAGGGTTTATTATTATTTTATACCATGCACATATTAAGTTGCCTAATAAAATTATATAAAATTAAGTAATTATTAAATAATATATAAAAATTATTAAAAAATCATCACTAAATAATTTTTCATATTGAAATGTTGATTGGAATCCAAGGGTACAAACAATTTATCGAGTATTTACAGTACAACTTTTATTAATAATAAAAGGGTAATAGAAAGATTGGAAAGTTCGCATCCCACCTCTTTCGCATCTACTGATTTAGGGGTACGACTACGACGATAGAGATAGCTGGCAAACAGAACTGAAGAAGAGAAGGGAGGGTTTGGGTTTGGGAGATCGTCTCGTCTGTTTCTGTTATTCAAAAAAAAAAAAAAAAACAAAA